GGGGGGAGCCTGAAAACCATCACTGGCTATAGAAAACCATCCCCCCCTGCTGTGGAGGACCGTCAACTAGCTGAATGTATTCTACTGCAGGTTCAACAATCAACACTCCCCCCTCACCCTCCCCACCTCAGATCCAGCAGCTGCTCCCCCAACAATCACCACCCTTCCCTCCAGCCCCCCACCTCTAACGATCTGTGAAGAGGTTTAAAAGACAAAAGATCAGAAAGGCACCAGGCCCAGATGGTGTGAGCCCCTCCTGCTTGAAAGTGTGCGCTGATCAGCTGGTCCTTATCTTCACACTCATCTTCAACAGGTCACTGAAGCTGTGTGAAGTCCCCTCCTGCTTCAAACGCTCCACCATCATTCCAGCCCCCAAGAAAACCTCCATCAGTGGACTCGACGACTACAGACCTGTCGCCCTGACATCTGTAGTTATGAAGTCCTTTGAAAGACTGGTGTCGGCCCACTTGAAGGACATTGTAGACCCCCTGCAGTTTCGCATAAAGTTAATGACATGAAGCATGTCCGTGCAGATTCTCAGTCATCCAGGTCATAGTAAGCTGAAAAAACTTATTTACTGGACTTGGTTTTTAGGTGTTTTGTCCTGAATGGTCCACCCGAAGGACAAAACACCCAGAGATAAACAGAGTGATAGTCAGGAGTGTAACGACTTGCACACTGGTGAAATTAAGCAGCCGCTGCACAAACGCATGGCACAACACAGGAGGGCCAACTCCAGTGGACCAGAAACAGCAGTCCACCTCCACCTGAAGGCCAAAGGACATTCTTTTGAGGACAGTGAAATCCAGATCCTGTCCAGAGAACATTGCTGGTTTGAGAGAGGAGTCAAGGAAGCTATTTTTGTCCAAATTGAACACCCCTGAATAAATAGGGGTGGTGGACTAAGACACAACTTGTCATCCATCTACAATCCTGTTTTGAGATTTCTGCCCACCAGGACAATAGGCGTCGGTCGACAGGTGAGGGTTCAAAGACAGGTAACAACTCAGTCGTTAGGGGACATTGTTGGCCCTCAAAGGACTGAAACACCACCGAGGGGGATAAATATCTCTGACTCAACACCAGTCAGTCAGAACTGATGAAGCCTCTTGGATGAGAGGTGAAACGTCTTCAACCTAGAAATCTAGTCCAGTTGATTTTTTTCCAAGTTTTTTTTTCATCTTGCTCATGGACTTTGATTTGTGGACTGGAGAGCCTAGGAATCGAACCACCAACCCTCTGGTTAGTAGACAACCCATTCTAACTCCTGAGCCACAGCTGCCCCAAATTAAATAATTAGGGGATTCAAATTGAGCCAAACATGGGCGTCCATTTCAGTCGGATTCAACAAACATTTGTGGGTAAACTAGACCTTAAAACTTACTGGTGAGAATTTAGAAACATTAGAAACAGTTTGTCAGTGGTAGGCTAGTGGTTCGAATCAGGGTTACGTCAGGAAGGGCATCCGGCGTAAAACATGTGCCAAATGTCAACATACGTGTCGTCAGTGTGACGATTCACTGTGGTGACCCCTAAACGGGAGAAGCCAAAAGTGACTTTCTAGAAACAGTTTGTCAGTGGAAACAGAGTGACAGGATTCACAATGGAAACAAAGTCTGACAGGAAAGAGAAATGAAAGATGAAGTGAGCTGTAGCACAAGGACTGAATCACCTGAGACCTGCTCCTCCCTCCTCCAGGTGTGGATCCCATGTCCTCAGTGTCGACAGAACACGCCTCAGCCCAGAGGTGGAGCCGCAGGTCTGGACCTGGACTTGGCTTCCTTCCTAGGAGTGAAGGCCCAGCAGGCCTGCTCCTCCTCCTGGAGCTCCGGCTGCAAGGAGGGTGCATCGGCTGGAGATACGACACAGGATGGGAAGCTGTGGCTGGGGAAGGAAGTCACAGATGAAGGCTGGTCGCATGGCGGTCTGGTTGAACCGCGTTTCCATCGCTATGGCAACTGCTGCCCACTGCTGTCCTACTGGGTGTGCTGCTGGTTCTGCTGCCAGAGGCGGGGCTAATATTGACCAATGAGTTTGCTACTTTAGTTCTTCCTTCATGCTTATAAAAGATGTAAAACATTAAAAGCTATCTAAATATAATGATAAATAGGTAGCTGGTGTTCAAGCCTGAGTTCCACATTGAAATACTTTTACAAACAAGTAAATTCAGTTTTCTTTAGAAATCTATTCAAATTGAATTTTATAGTGTAAAATCACACATGTACTGAAAGAGCTGGTATGATGGCAAAAAAAGCTCTGAGATGGGCCAGGGTGGTGGCAGAGGTCCTCCTCCACTGACACATTAACTTTGCCTGCTTGGTCTTTCTACATTATTTAAAGTTTTGAATCCAGGAGAAAGAGCTATTTGAAACTGCGCCTTTTGTGAGACCACACTGGGACACCTGAGGATGAGCCCGCCCCCTGCACTGCGCTACGGTGAGAGCGTAGGGAGCTACATGACTCCTAGCTGTGCTAAAGCTAAGCCAGCTGCCTCAGGCTATGTTTGAAAAAATGACTGCTATGGTGTTCGGAAACATAAACAGTGTGTGAACAACATGCAGTTCATGTTCATGACTTTTGAAAGAGCTGCTGGAGGACAGAAGGAAATCTGGGCTGTTTGTAAAGGAGTTAGAGAAGTCTGGACAACTCTGGGTGAATAAAATGTCAGATGTTCAAAATACACTCAGGTTCAAAAGGACCATAATACCACCTCCTTGTAGTATCAGAAAATATTTGTAACATATCTCACAAAAGAAGACACTCTGAACAATAATAAAACAGAGTGTTCAGGTGTTAAGGGTGAAGGGTCACCTGCAGGTTTTATTTGATTGGTCAGTTTAATTCCCACAAAAAATGCAAAAATCAGTCACAAGCTCCCAGGTTTTTGTTTTTTTTTTTTATCAGACAAATGAAACATCATGAATCAGAGTCAAATCCAGAGATCAGTCTTCACACTAGTCAACGCCAGTCACCGTCTTCACATTTGTGTGCTAGTTGACACAAACTGCTCTGGCTGCTTCGATTGGCTAAACATAGTCAGTGAACAGAAAAGCTTCAAAAACTCAAACATTTAATTTCACATCATGTAAATGAAAAATATAAACTGGTCTTTGTTGTATTTGCTAAATAGAATCTATTTGTTTCTTGTGAATTTTAAAGAATGCTTTAGTTTCTGGATTCAGTTTCTGGACAAGCGGCATAGAGACAAAACAAACAGAGAGGGAGAGTTTGGTGTGTTCTGCGTCATGAGGCACAAGGCATTCTGCAAGTTTTAGCCCACATCTTCATTACAGAGAAAATTGTCTACTGTGTCTTTCATCAGTCCCTCTGAGTGTGCACCGCAGCCAATCAGAGGCTGCCGCGCCTCTCGCCCCCCCTG